GGGGGGGGGGGAGGTGGTTAGACCGGGTAAGATATCGCTTCGCCACTGATGTTAACTGTGGCTGGGAATCAAACTCAGATTGGCAGGTTCACAGCGCACTGTGCTAACACCACTGCTCCATCCACTGAATGAAATATGTAGTAATCATCATAAATAGGTTAAGTGTAAATTCACAGATTTTAATGAGTCACATTTACCATGGTGTTGCAGAGGGCCTTTACCATTGAATATGATTATTATGGGAAATTGTATGATCTCTGTCCCATCGAGTTGTCAGTTCTGCAGACCAGCTGAACTTTGCTACAATCAATTGGATCATGATCAATATCGGGCAAATTAAATGCATTGGTTTATTTAGATCAATACTTTTGTTTATATGGATTTAATGTGCACAGAAATAGTTGACTTCGTTCAGAATCATATATTCGATGCGATTCAGTCCCCATGATGATATTAAAAGCATTAAACTGCGTCGATGTTGCGCTGCATTGGCGAGCGATCTATACCGTTGGCTACACACTATGCTATGAAGAAGTTCCGCATACACGCACACACGTGCCAGCATTCGCAATCATAGTGGTTGTGCAGTTCAGAGGTTTGTTGCAATGCTAAGATGCAATTCCTTCGATGTAGCCATAGCATATTCTTCTCGCAACACAACACGTGAATGAATGATCAATATTGATGCCGGGCCTTCGTTATTGACACAAAAGATCCCTATTGTGACCCTAGGTGACCTCTGTTTTGGCAAGGAACCCTCGGGGAGCAACAATCGTAAGCACACGAGGAAGCCAGCACATCTTAACGCAATAAGACGGACGGACGTGTTACAATTGTTATGACGGACTCATGCGCTGCGATCGTCCTTATCTTGACCGTCGACTGAACATGTCAACGCGTTGTTGATGACAATTTGTTGTTGTTCAAATTAACGTGCGCAATTATGCCATGCTTGGATTAACTGCAGCTGTCTGCAGTAACAAAATATGCTCTCGAATCTGTCAAACAGTCTCAACTGTATAAATCATAACACCTGTGCATACATGTAGTAGCCACAAGGAATGTAATTTAAACATTTTTAATTAAACTATCCTCGCCTCTAAGTACCCCATTCATCAAAACCATCTGTTCTGTTCGAACACATGTTTATGAGGACGGTCTGCTGCCAATTCTGAAAGCTGCACATTGGAGGACATATCTCCATAACGGCATTTTACTCTCAAAATAAATGAGAGAATAAAGACAAATGAGGTCCTACTGGAAGAACGAGCTTCTGAGGCAATGATATTGGTTTGTCGATGCTAAACTGACAAAGTAGGAACATATTCTGTATACGAATGCTCGGGGATTAACCATCTGCAGGTATTGCCACAATCGTTTGTGCACAAATAATGTACATCAAATGGGAAAGTGCAGCCCTACAATGGCCTGCTCACGCCATGACCGATGGATAACCCTACTCTAGAGAAAGCTCTAGAGCCCCGGTGATTTGTTCCACTCTTCCATCTCGGAAGAATTCGGAGGACCCATATTTTGCCCCACCGCACACAACCTGGTGAGAGAGACGAACTTGCGCTGCGCCCATCTGCACTGCCGGGTGGACAGGGGCAAGGAATTGAAGAGGTGTTATTATTTTAACTGCCGCGCCAGGAGAATTAAATTGAACTGGCGATCTCTTGATTTGCTGTACTGCATTCGAAACTGTCCTGAAATGAGAGCACTTTCTTAAACACCAAATGCATTTTCCCGACATAGTTTATGGATTTAAAAAAAATACGTCTCTTTGAATTATACTACAAACGATGTAGATATGCAAAACATTAAAATGAATATTTATATTCTTTGGGTCTTTCGGTAAAGCCATGTAGATAGAAAAATAATAAAATAAATAAAATTATAACAATATCACGACGTTTCGATCGCAACACAAGCAATCGTCATCAGAGGTGCCGAGGCAGGACAAATATATGGCAGGAGAGCTGCTAAGGCAGGGTGTTATAAAGGTTTGAGATGAATGTAGCCCAAGGGTCAGTGGGCGGGGCTAGAGATTAAAGCTGCATGTAAACATATATTGTTCAGTTTATAAGCATCTTCTCGGTTGAAATTGTGTCCGTGTTAAAATATCTAGATGGCTTCACGAACGAATCTTTGTTGATAGCCAGTGGGTTTGCAGAGTACCTTTGTCTTGGCGAAATAAATTTCGTGTGTGCCCACAGCGTTAAAACAATGATCAGCCATGGCCGAGGTATTGGTTCTACCGTGTTTCAGATCTGCCTTATGTTCACGAATCCGGTCCGAGACACGTCGCTTAGTTTCCCCAATGTAACTGCCGCCGCAGGCACAGCTTAATTTGTAGACACCGGGGTATTGCACGTCAGGGATCACATCCTTCGCAGATGGGATCAAATCACGAATTTTATGTACTGTGTTGAATTGGACCTGGATCTTGTGTTTGCTCATGATTTTGGAAACCTTTTTGGTGACCCCTACTATGTATGGCAAGGTAATAGTTTTTATACTGGTAGGAACGAAGTTGTAAACTGAGTGTACCAGCCTGCAATAGATTAATGTGTCCGTCCGTCCGTCCCCTTTCAATACTTTAACGAAGTGAAATCTCGTGCTGTTGGGGTGTAAAAATAAAATTGCGCAAAATTCCAATGTTCCTACCAGCCCACCCTGCAGGGACCTGTTTGGGTTCTCAGATGGTTCTTTCCCAACGGTTGGGGTAATAGCTTTACGGATTGTGTAGTCTGAATATCGGCATGATACACTGGTTGACCTGCCGACACGTGAACGGATGATATTGGGAGGGGGGCCACCAGTGGAAGGGGGCCGCTGGGCGGTCACGTGATATAAAGGAGCTCTCGGGGAGCCTTTGGGAAAGAGCTCGAGAGATCTAAAAGGTGGGCGGGGCAAGGGGCGGAGCCAGTCCCAGCCCAGGCCGATATAACGGGGGCCCCGTGAGGGGCTCGGGGTTCTTCGTGTTGCTGGTGAAGATGCACGTCGGGTAAAAGAAGCCTCTAGTCACGTGGTCCGGGACCCAGCTTGTGGTCCAGGCCGGGATAGCGAACCGTGTCTAGTTCTGCCGTAGCGTGGCTAGATGGGCATTCAACACCCATGTGTAGGTTGTGTTATGCTATGTTGATTTATTGAATAAAGTGTTGCTCCCGAGACAACGTCTGCGACTCAGTTGGACTCACTACACATTCACTAACACAGCCACACCGTTGTTCGCTTTCGATGTGGTGGTGGCTCTTTCCTAGCTTTCTCCGATCCTACATTTACAAGCAAATTTCTTACACTGACATGCTAATCTCTCACAATACAATGGCCACCCCCACAGCTTCGTTTGTCAAGATTACATTTACATGCAAATTTCATCTCTAGCCCCGCCCACTGACCCTTGGGCTACACCCATCTCAAACCTTTATAACTCCCTGCCTTAGCAGCTCTCCCGCTATATTTTTCACCTGATGACGATTGCTTGTGTTGCGATCAAAACGTCGTGATATTGTTATTATATTTATTTTATTATTTTTCTATCCACGTGGCTTTACGGAAAGACCCAAAGAATATGAATTCCTGCAGTCACGAAAGCTTTAAGTCAAGATATAAAAACGAATATACCGACTTGGAAAAGGATAAATGAGAATTTTCACTGCAATCGGAATGGCTGCAGATGATCAAGGTGAGCTACTCTAATAAGCACCCAATCTGGACCCTGACTCAGCGCTCAACACTCTTCACGGTTTGACGTTTAAAGCACGGTCTGGCTTCACTGCACTTTATCGCCATTCAATTTTCCGTGACGATGGACGTCGTGAGAAATGATGAAAGAGGCGAGGCACTCAACCGAAATGGGCTTACGGTGGAGTGAGACTCAATTGACTGACCATAAATTATAGGCGTTCTGCCCATTGCCAGGGTCTTCTTTTGCGTATGAATACAGAAATAGATTAACGTATGCAGCGTAGGTATATACGGGCATCCATGAAAAAGAGCTTTATAGCTCATCGGATTCCTCCATCATGAATACATATTCTGATTCTGACTGTGTACACACGTATGAACTTCTTTGGCACTGTCCATAGCCAATCGTGCTGATTGGAGATGCTGCCGCACACAGCTACCAGTGACTGAAAACCTTGTGGACTCTACTGTAGTCAGTGAGCCGGTTTGCACCGAGGCGACAGTTCACATCCCACAACCTTACAGGTAATATTCGCAAGATGTTACCAGGAGGACGGGTGGGCATGCCATAGTGATTGTTCGATTGTACATTATGTGTTTGGAGTGGTGGTACAGTGGTTAGCGCACTGTGCTCTGAACCCAGCGACCAGAGTTTGACTTACATCTATGGCATTGATTCTTAGCCTGGGGTGCACGCACCCACTGGGGGTGTGAGATGCCCTTTCTGAGAACCAAAGGGGTGCAGGCTGCAGTAAAGGTTAAGAACCACTGATCTATGGCTATCCTCAAAGGCGAGTCATAGCAGAAAAAGTCCAAGGACCTCTTTAATCAACTCAGTGACCAGCGTAGTGAAGTATGGACAAACAATCCCTTTGTCATGGCATGGGGAAGCCTTCATCTTGCAGTGGACTGATGAAGGACTGTGAGTAATGATATTGTAATATCGGCAGACTATTGTGTACTGGAGTTAACGTCCAGATCTTATAATTGAAGGTAACATGCCACTACAATACTCCATATCAGAAAATAATGATTATTCATGAGTAATTAAAATGACAGAACATTCCAATGTAGAAGATGTTATGGGTTGTAATAGATGCTCATCTGAATAAATAAAAAACAATAATTGCACTGCAAATACCAATTGCATGCTAATATTCTCATTACTTAACAGGATTTTTTTTCATTAAAACATGCATAGACTCCCAGTGATCACAATGATGGGAGAAACGTGTAACCGATAATGAAACACTTCGCCCTGGCTAACGATCGATATACATTATGTTTTTTTTTGTTTTTCTGTATCTCACATTTGTAAAAATGTTCCATTTCCTGTATGTGCTGTTCGGCTGGTGGCAGAACACCTGTGTTGGGAAGAGGGCTCATATCAGGGCATGCGCGCACACTTTTACACACAGCATGAAGCACATGGCGCGTAACAGCAACTACTCCCAGCGTCAGGCAAACGCCAATGCTGGATGGGTGCCAAAGCAGTCCATATGGGTTGCATTTAAAGCAGCGATATATGACGACACGGCTGGGACTGCGGTGCAGTCGTTAGCGCGCTGAACGATGAATCGCTGGTGATGTGCATGCGATTCCTGGCCACGTTTTTTTATACCAGTGGTGAGGGATATCCGAAGAGGTTGTCGCCAGCCTCCAATTCAATTCAAAACTATAAACGATGACAAAAATACCCCATTGCATCTGGTTGGTTGGGTCACATTTTCTAAAAAATATTGTTTTGAGTTGGTGGTCTAAAAACGATATATAATTGTTATTACTACAGATATCACTTGCCAATGATGTTAGCCATGACCAGGAATTGGAAGTCAAACCATCAGATTCAAAGTGCACAGTTGTTAAATGCCACGCTAACACTTCTACACAACCACAAATGACTTAATATATGAAGGTTTTTTTTTATTTACCTTCATACACGTTCATCACGTTAATGGAACACAGTGTACCACATTACTCCGTACAATAATTTAGCCCACAATAGCAGTTGTGGAATCTTGTTTAAGCAATTTGCATGAGCAGATAAAAGGACCCACGGCAAAGCAAGCGACCTGACCAACGTGAGACACTCAACCACAAAGATCAAGGGGATGTAAACAGAAGATCAGCAAGGGGACTCAACACCAATTACACCGAATGTCCTTATATCTCCTCAGACGTTCAGTGAGGGGAAAAAAGTATTTGATCCCCTGCTGATTTTGTATGTTTGCCCACTGACAAAGAAATGATCAGTCTATAATTTTCATGGTAGGTTTATTTGAACAGTGAGAGACAGAATAACAACAGAAAAATACGGAAAAAAGCATGTCAAAAATGTTATAAATTGATTTGCATTTTAATGAGGGAAATAAGTATTTGACTCCCTCTCAATCAGAAAGATTTCTGGCTCCTAGGTGTCTTTTATACAGGTAACGAGCTGAGATTAGGAGCACACTTTTAAAGGGAGTGCTCCTAATCTCAGCTTGTTACCTGTATAAAAGACACCTATCCACAGAAGCAATCAATCAATCAGATTCCAAACTCTCCACCATGGCCAAGACCAAAGAGCTCTCCAAGGATGTCAGGGACAATATTGTAGACCTACACAAGGCTGGAATGGGCTACAAGACCATTGCCAAGCAGTTGGTGCGATTATTCGCAAATGGAAGAAACACAAAAGAACTGTCAATCTCCCTCGGCCTGGGGTTGCAATGATCATGAGAACGGTGAGGAATCAGCCCAGAACTACACGGGAGGATCTTGCCAATGATCTCAAGGCAGCTGGGACCATAGTTACCAAGAAAACAATTGGTAACACACTACGCCGTGAAGGACTGAAATCATGCAGCGCCCGCAAGGTCTCCCTGCTCAAGAAAGCACATATACATGCCCGTTTGAAGTTTGCCAATGAAGATATGAATGATTCAGAGGACAAGTGGGAGAAAGTGTTGTGGTCAGATGAGACCAAAATGGAGCTCTTTGGCATCAACTCAACTCGCTGTGTTTGGAGGAGGAACACCATCCCCACCGTCAAACATGGAGGTGGAAACATTATGCTTTGGGGGTGTTTTTCTGCTAAGGGGGCAGAACAACTTCACCGCATCAAAGGAACGATGGACGGGGCCATGTACCGTCAAATCTTGGGTGAGAACCTCCTTCCCTCAGCCAGGGCATTGAAAATGCGTCGTGGATGGGTATTCCAGCATGACAATGACCCAAAACACACGGCCAAGGCAACAAAGGAGTGGCTCAAGAAGAAGCACATTAAGGTCTTGGAGTGGTCTAGCCAGTCTCCAGACCTTAATCCCATAGAAAATCTGTGGAGGAAGCTAAAGGTTCGAGTTGCCAAACGTCAGCCTCGAAACCTTAATGACTTGGAGATCTGCAAAGAGGAGTGGGACAAAATCCCTCCTGAGATGTGTGCAAACCTGGTGGCCAACTACAAGAAACGTCTGACCTCTGTGATTGCCAACAAGGGTTTTTCCACCAAGTACTAAGTCATGTTTTGCAGAGGGGTCAAATACTTATTTCCCTAATTAAAATGCAAATCAATTTATAACATTTTTGACATGCGTTTATCTGTATTTTTTGTTGTTATTCTCTTTCACTGTTTAAATAAACCTACCATTAAGATTATAGACTAATCATTTCTTTGTCAGTGGGCAAACGTACAAAATCAGCAGGGGATCAAATACTTTTTTCCCCTCACTGTAACCCAAAAACAACCACCCTGTCTGAATTACTGGGTTACGGTTGTTCGTGCAATTCTCTTGACGTTCTGGGTATTAACATGGACAACAAAACCGTAAAATATTTCCCGTAGGTGTTTGGACACCGTGCGTTGGGGGGACATTTTTTACATGCTTACAGAATCTTCTCTGGAACATGTCTACAGTTAATGGACGAGTGCTGTGTTTAGCATGTTATATTAAATAAAATTGTTCACATTGATCATTGTCCTGACATAAGTGGAATGAAAGAATACTTAATCTCTCACACCTAAAATATGTGCAAAGGACACTTTGCAGATATCAACTTTAGACATGGACATTGCAACAGGGGGTAAATATTCAGTGGCATAAATTTGTATTTCACATATCAGAAACTAAACTACAGTAAAACCTTGGATTGCGAGTAACTTGATCTGCGAGTGTTTTGCAAGACGAGCAAAATTTTTAAATAAATATTAATTTGATAAACGAGCGAGGTCTTGCAATACGAGTTGTGTACGTATACGCTTTGTTGTGCCTAGCGTCACGTGATCACAACTTATATACGAGTGCTATATACGAGTGCTTTGGATTACAAACACGTTTCCGGAACGAATTATGCTCGCAATCCAAGGTTTTACTGTTTTTATATTTTACCAGGTAAGGCCCACTCAGCTATATAGCTCTTTTTCAGAAGCAACTTGGCCACAAATGAAAGCTCAACAAAAAGTGGCTTATGTGGAATTTTATACCAGCCAAATACTCTAAACGCATGTGGAGAGAAAAACTGGAAGACCCGGAGATAAAATCCACGTGTCCACAGGGAGAACACGCAAACTTCAAATATACAGATGTCGGGGTCGGGATTGAACCCATAACCTCCTGCATACCAGGCGAGGTAGTTAACATCTTTCCACCGTGACCCACAAGGTTGTGACATGACCAATATCAAGCATTGGTGGCTGCCTTTATCTCCTCGATGCTGAGGTCCATAAACCACAGCAAGTAATTATTTTCCGCTGAGTATACACACATTATCGAGGCAGTCTAAAGGCTTTTGAGAATTTTTGATGAAACGTAAGTTGCAATCGAATAACAAGATTGATGTTGTTGTCATTTACATAACACATCTTTTTAATATAATGGTCCACTTTGAAGACACATCGTTTCATGAACCACAACGCAAACAGTATGTGCAGTTCTAGATCATGCCGTGTGCAGTAACAGTGCAGGTTTGAACATGTTGAAGACCAAAGGCCTGGACATTACTTAGCTGGAAGATCAGCATTCACTTCAGTCATTAATAAAAATTGCAAAAAGAATCAACTCAGTCCTTCAATCCGCCAGTATCACGAGAAACTGAATACAAACATGTGAACAACACTCAGTGAGAAATTACATGGTTGTCTTATTGATAAACAGGTCCCTGCCATGAGAATGTGGAATTTGCACCACTGGCTTCTGACTTGTGGCCACCAAGAGATGAAGTCTGTTTTGAGCAATGGGTAGACTGAGGGTACGGTATAACTTGTGAAGAGTTCTTGAAAAAAGTTGGATAGTTATTTTTTGGGATCCCATTCTAAAAAACTATTTGACTGCCTTTTATATATACACACAGTGGTGTTGTGTTATATGCTCATAAAGCAGGCAGCGCTTATGGTGAATTACTGCACTGAAAAGGCATTAACCTTGGACGCCTGTTATCTTTTTATCTCTCTTCCACCACCATTCTATCTTTTAACGTGCCTTTACACTCTTATCGACGAGCAATAAACTGTTAAAGACTCTTGTAGAAGGCAACACATGATTAAGGGTCCGAGTGTGGTTTTTTTAATGCAGTGTTGAACACGTGGCAGTAGCAAGTACTTATAAATCACTCCGTGTCCACTTGGCATATGACTACCAGACTACAAGACGGGTTCTAAAACACGCCGATCATTATTTTTGCACGATCGGAAAGTCGGCTGAATTGGAGGGTCTTTCGCCACCAATGAGTGGGTTGGGGGGGAATGTAGTCAAAGGCCGCTGTCGTTTGTGTTTTCCGCATCATATCGAACGAGGAAATGTACAGAGACGGCACACTGTGCACGTGAGCACAATGAACAACTGCAGTCGTCGAATTATATTGAGGAGCTACAACCGCGTAGGATGTTAAAGAAAAAAAATTGCAAAGCTGCATCCCTGCAATCGCTTGCTCACGTCACTGCTGGTAGATTGTCCTTCACCTAGGAGGTGGTAAAATAAGTATGGCATACTTAAACTCCATATGTACAAGCCAAGACAGGGGGGTCTGAAGGCACATTCTACATTTCTATAGCCAGGGGGCACAAATTGACACTTATGTTTTTAATTATCCTGGAGTAATGATGGGCCAATCATATATTTGGGATGGTTAGCAAATTGGTGAGTGCGCAATGTGACTACAACACCATGATAGTCAGCAGCTGTACCAGGATTGGGCCTCCACTCGTCTAACATTCATTCATGCATGTAGGAGTATGGCCACCATCAGCATATAAAAAAAAACAAAATCCATGGCCAGGAACAGTGCCGGCCACTCCACCTCATGTGCCATACTGGCCTTAAACGGTGCTTGCCAACACAACAGCCCTTGCCGTGAATCTACACGGATACCCCTTGCAACTGTATGAACG